CGAACTGATGGCACTGCATCCGGCGGAAACACTGCTGGCAGAAATGAAGAGAAAAACATCTGAAACGACGCTCCTTACTCTGTTGAAGATCTTCAGCAACACCAAGCTGGTGTTTCAGTTTCAGCAGCGTACTCTGACGCTGGAAACCTCCACCTGGTCTCCCTTTGCAGAAATCCCAGCGTATTTGTTCATTTCAAACAATAGGGATTACAAATGTGATACAATGCAAACAATTCGTTTTAGATGTTTCCTGTTGAAGACACAGTTAAAGTTGTACGATAAACATTAAAACGTGATTCAAAGAGTGAACACACTCTCCAGACACGTGGGTCTGCTATTTCGAAATTAGTTTTAGCAAAGACAAAAATAAAACAAACCGTTTTCTTCCGCATCAAAGCAAAGGCTAAACTAGCCAGCAAAAAATAAGACAGAGTCAAAACGCCAAGAGAAGAGAAGAAAAATCCACAAAACTCTCACCATTCTATCTCAGGCGTCCACGTGGACCGGGTAGAACTGCTAATGACAATGATGCCGTTCACCTGTGGCGTTTCAAAGCGCGCGTGGAACGGTTTCCTCCACTGACGTCAGAACCCGCGGTCCAGCGCTCTTCCGGTGCATCTTTGTGATGTAATTAGTCCGGATTGGAATTACAGCGTGATTGGTCAGATTCCTGTTGGGCGGGGTTCCCGCAGCAGTGGTTTGTTATATTTTGTGCCGGGATTTTTAAAAATATCTGATCGAGAAGACAATTACTCAAACTCTTATAAAGTGCAGTGAACACAATCTGTTTGTGCGGTGTGTTGCACACTCCGCTTTCATCAACTTCTCATGGCCTGCCTCCTATCGTTTGTGCAGTTTCCTTCACAGCCACATATTTGTTCTGTCTGGTGCTGTCGTTGTGGCGCTTTGGCCCAGAGGCAATGTCCCTGACGTTGGTGTGGAACCCCAGGGTTCACCTCCTGAGCAACTTCGAATCCCGGTTAGGGCGGTTAATAACTTTTAGTGGACTCACCACCCGCAGGAAGCTTTGGGGGGTTGTTACGGTGCAGTTTGATTTGGGTGGCGACTGCTGCCCCCGCGACCCGGCAATGGATGAGCGGATGAAGATGGATGGATGGACGGTGCTGTCGTTCTGTTACTTACTTATTATGTGTGAGCTATTTTTCCTGAACGAGGGAAACCTGCAAAGTCCAAACAAATGTACGTCTGTCAGATTTTGGACCTGTGACATTGTGCCTGTGAGGCCAGTACTCTCACCCCTTCTGTACTTTGCAGCACCACAAACAATCTTTTTAGTTGAATATTTATAATCACGCTTCTAATCTTTAGACTATATGTTAAATCGATAAATTGAAGTTATTTCTGAAACTTACTACACTGAAAGTGTAAAAAAAAAATCACACATTTACAAAACAGTTAAATTTATTTGATATTTTTTGAATGAAACAGAGACAAAATATTCTTGTAATGAGGTACAGTACATCATGGTATGAGGTACAACAGCATAGTATTTGTCTCTGTAGTTTATGGGAATGTAAACCTGTTCTTTTACCTTACAATATCAACTGAATCGGGGAAAAACAACACTGAAAAAACTGTAGACAAACAGAATGGCTTACGTCTGCGGGGAGGGATCTTCTAACCAGGTACGACCCAGTGGGTGTTAGTGCTCGATATAAAACAAATAGCATGGTGGAACTAACTCCAAACTGGTTATTTCTGTTTGTAATCACTGTTGAACTTTGCACGACAAATGACTATTTGGTGCTTTAAAATAGTTGCTCGTGGATGAGGACCAGCAGGATCCACCAGTCAAACCATTTCAAACTGTGCAGTTTAGTTGAACGTCACTGTCTCATACCTAAAGACAGAATTCTGCAGATTCTCTGAAGACTATTAATGTAGTGAACAATGGAAACTGCTATAAAGGCTTCCTGTTCTACAGTGAGGATGAGTGAAGATGTTTGTACTCCGCAATTATATCAATTTTACAACGTAACACATACACAAAGTAATTTATGTTTGTTTAGGTTGAGCATGACTATACTTTGAACGCATTTATAGAAAAAACAAAAAACAAAAGACAGTGTGACTTAGCTGGAGTTGGAAAACATCCGCTGCGCTGTTACATGGGGCAATTAGTGGGAATAACAGTTGCCCGTGACATTTCTGTACCACACCTAAGGCGTGTTTTAGTGAAATAAACATTTTTTTGTTTGATAAAACAAAACATGTCAGAAAAACCAAACAGAATAAATGCTTTTTTTATATATATAATTCTCCATTGTGTAAACTGTGGAATTTTATTAATGGGAAAGGACATTTCAAACATCAAATATGTTTGGACTAAGCCTGAAAAACCAGCTGTAAATACAATCGTCATTATCACCTCGGTGTGTCAATAAACCCAGACTTGCTCAGACTTAAGTTTCAAAGAAAGAGGGGAGTAAAGACAGTGCAACCAAGTCAAATTTAACACTTTATTTTGAATATTTTACATCAACATGGAACTACAAAGGAACGGAGATCCCGGCCAAACATATCAAAATGTAAGGAAGCTGCCAGGCCAGCCAGCAGTTGGCCGTCGCCCTGGAGATTCCTTCTACCCTAAAAACAAACAAACAAACAAACAAAAACACACAAAAACAGGACTACCGTGGACCTCCATTCCAAACTAAAACAACAAAAAAGTCAACCATTAACTGAGTCATCATGACTTCTCACGTCAAGTCCTTGATGTGGCCAAAAGATCACTGATGAAATAACTACAACACTTAATCACAAACCAAAGGTTCATTCTGCTACTGATGTACCATGAATGGACCAGGTCACAAACACAGATGGATCCAAGTCTGAGTTTGGACACTGCCTCCGTGGTACATCACACAGTAAGAATTAATGACTGGATTTCTTTAAGAAAAACAAAAAGGTGCTAGAAAGGGTTAGTAGTGTG